AAAATTTGAGTTCGCCGGCGCCCCCACCGCCGGCGGTGGAAAGGAGGTCGCCGCTGGTTTATGTAAGTAGGGCGGTTAGGGAGGATATGGCACCTGGGGTGACGAAGGTGGGTCCGGTACGTGGTGGTGGTGGTGACGTGGAAGGGGGAGAAGTTGGAGGTGAGAGACGGTCGAGGGCGGCTGTAGAGTCGATTCTTGAAAGGTCGCAAAGGGATGTTATGATGAACAGGGTGGCTTTAGGATTTAGGGTTTGTGCGGTTATTTTTTGCTTGATTTCGTTTTCGGTTATGGCAGCTGATAAAACTCAAGGTTGGACTGGTGATTCATTTGATCGTTACAAAGAGTACAGGTGACCATTTTCTGCTTCTATCTATACCTCTGTTTATGTTATTTTTGTTTCAATGGTAAAGAAAGCATTTTTAAGTGGAGAAGCAAATTTTGCACAGAAGCAGTAGTGTGTGAACAAAGCTTGTGTGCACCTCAGCTGATAGATTTTAGCTGTAATATGAATTTTTTGTGACTTTGAAATTTCCTTTCATCAGAAGCAAGTACAGTCAAACCTCTTAATAACGACATGGTTATTACAAAGAACATACTATATATAACATACTTCTTTTCTTCTTTTCGTTTCAATTTGATTGTCTTACTTTCCATTTTAGTCGGTTCGGAAAAGAATGTCATCTTTGCTTTTTTGGCAACTCTTCAATACTAACTTTTCATGTGTCTTGTTTAAGACCACAAGATTGAGGGACATTTTGGTACAATCTACATATCTTTAGTTTAAGACTACAAGAGTTAAAAGTGTTTTTGTATTTTTTAAATTTCGTGCCAAGTCAAAACTAGACAAACAAATTGAAACGGATAGAGTAATATGAAAGTCGGTTCCCAAGAGAGGTCTGACTGTAATTCTGTTTTGGTTGATCCAAGGGATTCACAGTTGATTTCTTTCTCATGTTTTTTCCTTTTTATTCTCGTTTACTATTTCCTTGCTTTCCACAGCTTTAAGTAATGTTAGACCTAATTTTTGCCACAGGTATTTGGTAGCTGTTAATGTTATTGGATTTGCATATGCTGGATTTCAAGCATTTGATCTAGCACTCAGTTTGGCAACTGGGAAACACTTTCTCTCTTACCATATGCGATATCATTTCAATTTCTCAATGGATCAGGCAAGTAATACCATTTCAACTGGTGTACTCTCATAATAAGTGTTTCAGGTTTGAGATGAAATTGGTAACTGGTACTGGTTTTGCTCTTAGGTATTCGTATAAGCTCTTAGAATGTTGCTAACAGGGAAGGGTGCAGAGTCTGGATTATTCCAACTATAAATATATATTCAATTGAGCTGCTTGTTTGAAGGAAAAATAGCATTTTTCAGTGGCTTCTTTAGTCCTGCTTTTTTATTTTTATGTAGATTTTAGTTCAGTCTTGCTCAGTAAAAAAAAAAAAAACGATTTTCCTTCCCACTCCAAGACATATGATTTGGATCCCTGGGAACAAGTCTTAGAGAAGTAGATGGCTCGGCTCCACTGGGAGATGGGAAACTATTTTAGTTCAGAGTTTATCAGAATTCTTATGGTGGGGTTTGTGAGAAAGAAAAACTTCCAAGTGCCTTATGTAGGAGCAACTAGATAACTTCTTTCAGCTCTAGTGTTGAAGAAAAACTTTTCAGTGCCTCATCTTGGCTGAAGGCTTTGGACAACCTAGGTAGGGTAGAATCATAGGTAGCTTACTAATCCATACAACTGTGTGTTTGAGATGAACTCAACAATGGATAACCTATAGAATTAATTATAACACATAGTCATAACTTCCTAAAGATATTTGGACCCTCCCGTAAAGAGGGTTCAGCACTTGGAAAGCAAGAATTCGGGGCTAAATAACTTATGGATGAATTCATCATTAGGAAGGTACTAGATACTTTTCATGGAAACTAAGATGACGAGTGATATTTGAGAATGAAATTTACTTCAATCGCCAAAACTATCAAAGCACACCTTGGCCCAATAACAGTTGGCTAATCTTATCTAGTATGTAGTGTGTTTTGACTCAAAACGACCTGGTACATCTGATTATGGACCCTAAGGTGTTGTCATATGTTGCAGTGTTCATGACATTTACTTAAAGCTTCTTAAGTGTATAGTTTCTATTTAGCCAGTTGAAAACTTCTGGGTCAGTTTAGTTTATTGTTATTGTGCCGGTTACAACAAAATTGTCTTATATGTATATCATCATACCTGGCTTTATTAGTCTTGCTACTGTTCTGTGTATATATGCTCTGATGATAGTCTTTTGTTCTCATACCTGTGCAGATACTGGCATATCTTATTATGTCTGCATCGTCTTCTTCTGCAACGAGGGTAGACGACTGGGCATCAAATTGGGGAAAAGATGCATTCACAGAAATGGCAAGTGCATCAATCGCGCTGTCTTTCCTGGCTTTCATTGCTTTTGCCTTCAGCTCTATCATATCTGGTTATAGCCTCTGCAACCGTACTTCCTCATGATCTTGAAATGAGTTACAACTATTCATCCATTGCGTAATTTTGAGAAATTACTGCAACAAATATTTATGTCTAGTGGATCAGAAGTTGTACAGATGTAGTTAATAGATTTAGCTGTATAATAATCTCTTTTTTTCCCACTCCTACTGCAGATGAATAAATATACAAATCCGGTTAAGCAAATTGTATTGTTGAGTAGCTGAAAAAAAAATGTCAAATATGCATATGTTCTTATGGATATGGTATATGTTAAATCTTTATGATGTATTGAACAGTGTGAATGTGAAACCTTTTTATTAAGAGACATAATCAAATCTTATTTGAGTTCAGGTAAATGAATGAGATTATGATAATTTGATGACCTCTGTGAAAATAGATAACCTGTGATGAATGACCACTTCAAATGGGTTTTCTACAGTTCATCTACCTCAACTTTTCACTTGGACAATAACATTTTTATATTGAAAATTTCAGTAAATACAGACAAGTTCATTAGAATCATCCTATGTATTTCTTCACCTAGAAAAGGAGATTCTTGACACTGGAAAAAGGTCAGCTACAAAAAAAACATCTCTTTCCACCTGTCCTCCTCACCTTCCTCTCTCCAAAATTGATCCGAACACATATCGACTCATTTCCTTAATTTCCTCTTCCTCCTTGCTGAAACATAGTCTAGTATCATTAGTCTCAGTTTGGACTCATCTTTAATATAACCATCTGGAAGTTCATATCATAAGAAATCTATTGAAACACAGTTGTGGCAATGTCCTGAGGTGTTAAATAGGCTTTAGGATTATCTGTTCAACTACCATCTGAAGTTCTCCTCTGATCCGAGGCAGAGGGATCCTGCTTTCGTGCCTCTCCAAAATTTGATCTGCATTTGATGGCATGAACCAAAAAATTAATACCCAAACTCATGAATCGAGTTATCAGCGGAATGAGTGGTTGAAGAACAGTTAGGATGCTACTACATGATAAACTTCTACAATATTGAATTGGAATTTAGCAACCCTTTTTCCTGTGCCTTTGGTTTTTGTCTGGAATGTTCTCAGGAAACAAGAAAAGAATCCTTAAAATGTAATGACAAGTTATCCATTAGCACTTGCTAGGTGAGTGATGTTCATGTATCTTCTCTTAAGTAATTCAGATAGTAAACATCACCAGAAGGCCCAATTTAAAGAAAGTGCACCTATTATCCCTATAATTGCTGTTCAGATTTCAACCTTTCCAGAAAACTAGCAGATATTATGTCGCAAAACAAATAAGTGAAAATCAGATAACTAACATACACATTATTATGTCCATGCCACCCTTGTCCTTGCAAATAATATGAAACTATAACCGAAGATACAAATGATTCATATACCTAATTCCAACTAAAAAGGGAATGAGAAACCGTTTATTGATACAGAACAGTAACCAATACTTCCAGTTCCCTTCTCGTATTTGGTGGGCGGTCTGGAAGGTGAGAAGCCAGAGATTTTGAAGGAAAACATGAGTGTACATAGATTAAAAAGATGTATTTATCTTTTAGCGTTAGTGTGAAAACCTTGATGTAATGGAGCTAGGGCATGTAAATCATGGCAACTCTCCCTAATAGAATATAAGAGTGTTGTTCATTAGACTACCTCAACTCCTTATGTGTACAACTATAGAACTCCTTACTGATCAAAAAGTAACCAGTACTGCCAGTAACAGTGACATGATCACAAGGTCATATGGACTCTTTGGACGGAACATTATTCTTAATGCAGCATAATTAATGAGAAAATGAAAAACTCATCAATGAGACACTTTAATAAGTTTATAATGAAAACTCACCCGCAAGTTGAGCATTTCTTGTGATGCTTGCAGAATATTGATAAACAAACAGAGCATATGAAACCCATGTCAATCGTGTTTTTATGGCAAAAGCACCTGAAAGTTAGTCGCAAACATAATCAGGTGAGCAGCAATACTTAATGGACTGTGAAGGGGTGAAGAGTACCCAATACCAATTGGGGGCTAGATTCAAGAATTTGTAAGAATGGACTGGAAATTGGAGCACAGATTTATTTGAGTCCAGATAGGAGGAAATTCAATAAAATACTCTACTTTTGCTATTAGAGAATGGGTCTCCTTGATAAACATTGTTTTCTTTTTTCAGGATAAGTATGCTATCAAAAGCTGCACTCTCAAAAGTAAGTCGTAAGTTCATAACACTCGTAATGACTCAAAGCTGCTGGAGTTAGGAAAGATATGGTTAAGACAAAATTAACAGATGATACAACAGCCTCAAATAAGAAGATCTGAGGAGAATTTCTGTCTGCCAAAAATACAAGTGGATGATGAAAGCTTTTGTTTAATTTAAGTAAAAAAAGGTACAATAGGAAAGAGCTTTCACAATGCGAGAGAAAAGGTAGTACAGTCAGACTATTCTTAAATGACATTGAGCTAGATGGATAAAATACTTAAGCTCCGTAGGTAATTTGAGATGATTCAAGAAGAATGAGATAAGCTAACACAAAGAACTTGAACATTGACAATAGAAAAGTTGAATACTACCATTAAAAAGAGTACATAAAATATTAGTGAGGAAACATACCAATTATAATATTACCAGTTCATCATATGAGAAATAACTTAAATAATAGACACACTAATCACTTACGATGCACGGAAGTCAACTCCAACAGGTCTGGGAAGTTGCAAGAAACTCCGAGAATGTAAATCAGTCGCAAAAACTGTCTGTATTTATTACAGTCTCGTCAGTATTTTCAAATGGAAAATTAGATCTCAAGACAAGACATTCTACAAATAAACATCTCAAAATAAAACAAGGCATTTAACCATCTTACAGATCACACCAGGTGAATGAAAACACATGGTACACCAACCGCACAGACAGAAACATGCAACTTGATATCATATTGATGAGAAAGAACGTCTTTAATAAGAAATCAATTTCAATATAACTTCTGGTGTAGATACTGTATTCTAGTCATGAAAGTGGTTGTAGCAATGGACCATTGCATTCCATGAAACGTGAATGAAATGTGGAAAACAAGGTCATACAACAATTACATCTTCATTCATGATATTATTATCTCCTACTCACAGAGACAAAGCATGAGAAGTTCACTATAGAGGGCAAAAGGAAAAGTCATCGAACTGTGGCAGTCCAGATGACATTTGGAGAAGATTTTCTAAGTCCACAAAGAGTACATTGATACTTTTCAGTCAAAGCCTTTTGGTTGATCACTGTATCTCCAACCCCAACAATAGTAGTACATATCAAATATTTAACACCAGATTTAAAATAGTTAACTTTTGGAAGGTCTTTTTAGTGTAAGCTCCTTGGAAACAAAAATTGCATACACTAAACAAATCAAAGTATAGTGACTTGTTCAACATGCTTACACATCAGATAGAAACTAATGTTTGAAGACAGCACTGGAGACAACCGTAGATGTTCAATGTTGGACCCATGCTATTGACGAGTTAAAATGGTAAGCTAGAGACAACTTAGTATTAATAATTTTAATAACACTTACAGAGAGATATTGAAACAGTCCATCTGATACTTGGGGTTTCAAATATACACCACCAGTTATGTAAGAAGCCTGTTCACAGATATGCACCATAACATCAGTGAGCCAGAAAATAACTCTTGCTGGGAAAGAATAGATTTTCAACCAGAGCTTTCAGGTATAGAAATGCTACCTGCTGAAGAAAAGCAGAATGCTGAGATCCTATTACACATGAATCAATGGGTACCTGCAACAAAAACGCATTGCATTTCTTAGAGTAGAATCACAATATAACAATCTAAGTCCCGATCCCTAATTTTGAAAATTCTACATTTATGAAGACAATGTGACAACTTTCTAATTAATCAAGAAGGAAAATTGAAAGAAAGAATTGTTAAATCCTATATACCATTGAACGTTGAGCTGAGAAAATTGAATTCATGACTGCAACATATCTGCAAAAAAAGAACATGTTTCAGCAGAGAACCTAACAATGAGAAGATTGTAGATGCTGTGAAGATCCAACATACTGTCCCGGCCCATCTGGAGATCCATGCAGACACAATATCTGCCATAATTTCAAGCACAATTTCTTAGCAAATATCAATATTCATATCCAACATAATAAAAAAGGAATCAAATTTTAAAGTACATAGCAAGAAAAGACACAATTTTTTCCTAACAACTACCTTACTGATAAATGATCAAATCAACAAACACAAAAATGATGTAGTAATATCTGATAATATCACATTAAGAAATTACCCATGAAATGGGAATGGAAACGGCAGTTAAAATGCAGGCATTTCATTGGGAATGGTAGTTTTTTCTTTTCTTGATAAGGATGGGGAATGGTAGTTTCACTATACCATTGGATAAAAATTGCAGTACAAATAAATCAGGGCACATTGAAATTTAATTGATGGTTTTGTTTAAGGTACATAAAACATAGAATAACTTAAAGTATTACCTCACCAAACCCCCATTAAGTTGGTTATGCACCTTTGGGGTTAAGAAACACTCTATCAGAAGTAACATGAAACATAAAAGGCCAAAGAAATCACTGGAAAAACTCGAAGTTCTTTTTCCCCTTGGACTATAGATATTTCCATGGATAAGGTATTTGGCATAATAACATGTTATGCTAATAAATACTAAAGTTCACTATCCCAAATGGATCGACCAGGAAAATATCACATAAGCATAAAATCTACAAATGTAACTGGATAAACAAAATAATACTAGTATAAATTCTCATAACAAATTCCACCAATTTAAAATCCCAGAAGAACCCATTTTCAGTTTCTTCTAAAATAAGGAGCTTACCCGAGGCTGTGGATGAAGAGGCCCTGAACGAAATACCCGTTGAATGTCTAACAGTTCACACAGGTCAAGAGAAACACTTCCTCTAAACAAACATGAATTCAAAGCTATGCACCATAACAGATAAAAACCAGTGGCAGATATAGCTAATAGCTACGGTTCAACCAAACTCAGTATTTTCAAATACGGAACATGAATACATAAGTAAGAAGAACTAAAATCAAACAAAAAATTAGATTTTGTATCTAGAATTTCAAAAGTCAGTAAATTCAGTGCTAAGAACTTCAAAGAATAAACCTAGCAAGTCCAACACCTCTCGATAAAAATCATTAAAGTTGCAATTCAATAAGAATTAAAAAAACCAACAAACATGAACTGATTGAGGATACAGCACAAAGCCATAGAAAGTGAACCAGAAAGCAGTGAAAATCCAACTCCATCAACAGAGTCTTCTTGACTCAAGGACTCATCTTTATCCACAAAATCCTCCAATTTCTCCAACAAGCACTCAGCCCTTTGCATTGACGAAGTAGACGAATCAAATACATAATCACATGAATTGTACCCAGTTGCAATCACAACCACTTGATTCATCTGATTCAGTAAAAGTATCGAATTCAAGAAAGCAAGAACCTGCATTTCCCCCATACATTCCAGCATCAAAATTCAATAAATGGAGAACACAAAACTATTCATTTAAAAAAAAAAAACAAATTTTGGGTTTTAGGGGTTTTTACGTGTGATATGAATTTAGGGAATGTGAAGGCAGTATTCTTCATTGAGCTCCAGAAGTAGGGATTTGTATCGACCAGAACCATCAATAGGCTCACATCGTCTGAAAGTACTCAAAAGAGATTAATTTAACACATTTTTCTCTTATTCCACTAGCATGTACGCATACTTCAGCTACACAGACAGAAAAGGAGACAGACCTGCGTAAAGCTTGGATGAAACCGGAGTCATGGCCGCCGGTGGAATAAACCTGAATTCACCGGTCAGTGTAGAGAGTGTCGCCGATGCAATATACTGTCGGGCTTTGCCTTTTTAGTCCTCCGGTGGTAAGGAAGTAACAACTATAAAAAGTGTATAATTGATTTGTTAAGAAACATATTTATTAAAGTAAAACATCTCAATATTATAACAAAGACAGTTTGGCCGAGTGGTCTAAGGCGCCAGATTTAGGCTCTGGTCCGAAAGGGCGTGGGTTCAAATCCCACAGCTGTCAAATTTTTTATTTTAATTTTCCAAATTTAAAAAAAAAAACACTAATTCCCTTTATTTTTAATTTTCCCCTAACCCAAATAATTACTAATTATTTTTTAGGAAAATTAAATACACAATTTATTTTATCAGATTCTTTAAAATCCTACTATTTAAAAAATTACAAAAATTCTTACTCTCTCCTATTTTCGGATACATCACTTTATGTATCGGTCGGATTTTAATTTTCCCCTAAATTCAAATTATTTTTAAAAAAAATAATTCCCTTTATTTTAATTTTCCCCTTACCCAAATTATTACTGCACTTACTATTTTTTAGGAAAATTATATACACAACTTATTTTACCATATTCTCTAAAATTCTTATTATTTGAAATTTTTTTTTACAAAAATTCTTATTCTCTCCTATTCTCGGATACATCACTTGAATACACCACTTTACGTGATATATCAAGATGTGCACGATGTATCAAGACGTTGAGCAATGTATCTAAAATCGATGTATTAGAATGTTTTGGAATATATCCGGAATTGACTAAACTTAAGAGATTTTTTAAATTTGAAAATAATAAGGATGAAATATAATTAACTCTTAATATCACATGATTTGCGTAAAATATAACTTTATTTAATTTTCCCCTAACCCAAATTAGAGTTTTTTCCTTTCTTAATTTTTTTTTGTATAAAAACTATTTATGTTGATAACAAACGGGTGCTAGGTTAGCTATCTTTAAAATTGTTGAGGCATAAACCCAGGACTTTAACACAAACACTCTGTTCAATCAAGAAAAACACAATACAATGGGTTCGAAACCTTGCTTCATTGATAAACTAGTAGTAAGTACAAACTCTCTCTTTTTTTCGATTTCTTGTGCCAGATTATAGTGAATTAATTGTTTAATGCTAAAAAGATTGTATTTTTGGTTTGGATTAGGTTCCTGGTGATGTTGTTTTGGATCTTTCCAGCATGACTAACCAAACGATTAAACTGGGTGGCGGCCTCCAACAGGTTTTTCTTCTAATTTTCCTCTCAGAACTCTGATTTCTGTCTCATGGGTTTATAGATTTTTGCTCTTGTATATACAAATATTATTGAAAAAAGGGTTCTTTTTATGCTTTATACACTGTAGTGAGTTGGAATTTTATTGTTCAGAGCACCAAGAAAGTTGCTAAAAACTATGTACATGTAGAATTGGGAATCCATCAATTCTCTCACTGGTTTTGGATTATTACAATCTTACTTGCTTGATACACCAAGAACTCAACATTTGGAGACACAGTTCTTGCTATTTTGAAAATAAATAAATATTCTTTTTCTTTCATTCTATATGTACCAAAAAGAGACCTAAAGCTAATGTATTCAAAGTTGGCTTTTCTTGCACTTTGCCTGTATATGGTTGTTTTCCTCTGTGGATGGTAGTACTCTATTCAGCATTATTTGAATATTGGTACTTGAGAAATTTCTATCCTACTTACTGCACTCTAAGTATAAGGAGGCAATGCAGCAAAGTTTATATTTTCTAACTGCCTTCAAGATAAATATATCTGATGTTCTATACATATTTTCCCCATTTTGGCAGGACCATGACGCTGTAACTGTCGTCAAAGCAGGTATTTTGAGATTTTCAAAGCCAAGCAAGTACTGGATTGAAAGCTCACACAAAAGAGTGAGTGCAGTGCTATCTTTCTAGAATCATCCAAGTATACACTTCTGCTGTTATTTTTAGTAGATTTTATTGGAAAAATTCCTGGTGTTTTGGCCAATATCTTAATACGTTTAAAGTGACCTGAAACTATTTCTTTTCACTACACATTCTCGTGATTAAAACAGAGATAGTAAACTGTACTTTGGATTTTCTTAGAGTGAAACAGTAGGGAATGTGTATGAAGCTAAATAAAGCAGCACATATTCACTGTTTAGGTTGAACTTTGGAAATTGATGTACCTCGTCAACTGTGAAATCATACTATAGTCTAAATAGATAAGTTGCTAGAATAAATAAGCCAATGTGCGTTATGGTGGATCTGCAAAATTTAGATGTCGTCAACTATTGCACAAGTAAGTTAATGCTACTATATTTGAGAGATAAAGGAAGATTTTTCAATTCTGAATTGCAGGGGTACTATATGTTTTTTTTTTTGCTCAGTAAATCAGCGAAAAATTTATAAAGGGATAAAAGTATGAAATTACAAGGTTAAATGTATTGTGTTGAAATATGGACTGACAAGGGAGCTATAGTACTACCTTATCAAATGGGAGCCATAGTACTAATGATTCCATCAGTGAATACTTAATTTCTAGATTTATACAAATCTTTTAGAAATAACCATGTTCAGTGAAAAAAATTAGGGTGATCTCTTCTGGTCGAGTTGAAGTGTTGAACTTTCCTTTTTCTTTTCTTTTAAAGAATAATCAAATTGAACTTTCTTTAATTTGCTGATCTGCTGTAATTTCTTACAGTATATACCTACCGTGGGGGATGCTGTCCTCGGAATTGTGGTGGACAAAAGAGCAGATGTAAGCATTTTTAAGTATTTCAAAACTGTTTCTTATTATTCTTATTGTAAGTAATACCACACTTTATTGTGACAACTTCTTTATTTTGATTTCTGGTGAATAGTTATGTTAACATTGCTCCTAGCCGTGTCCTAAATTCTACTTGCTGCAGCATGAACTCTGTAACAGCTACACTTCTAAGTAGTTGAGTACGTTATGCATTTAAGAACTTAATTTTTTCAGTATCCCACTATCCTTTTCTTTTTAATGAGTTTAAAAGTCAAAAGTCAAGATATTGATACTCCTTTTTTTGATATATAATAACCTTAGGGGTCGTTTGGTTGGGAACAAATTATCCCGGGATAAGTTATTCCACCATGTATGGGATACCATCACTAAGGTGTAAATGGTGGGATAAATAATCCTAGGACTGCATAATACCTCCAACCAAACGCAGGATAAAATAGTCATGCATTTTATCCCTGGGATTATTATACCTTATACCTTATACCTCACACCAAACCACTCCTTAACGTATTAATCTCATCATCTTTTGATGAGTTTCCTTTGATGCTGTTAAACTATGTATAATTGGTGCTTCTAGGAGTTTCCTGCTGCTCTAGATCTTTTGCTTTAGTTTGTCTTTCTGCTTCCTGTTTTTGATCAATCAGATCTGTGGTGCACTTATCTAAGACATAATGAGCATCCAATGCATAATTTTTTCTCCTAATATTTGAGGGGGTTTATGTGTGTTGTTGACTACTTAGTTTCATTTGTTACAGTTTGGTTGAAGTCAACTGTAGGGTTTTAGGTTCTAAACCACCATGTCTCTGCTAAGGACATATCAGTTGAAGTCGTGTAAAAAGGTCTGATAATGTCCTTAGTTGTGATCCAAGTCTGCTGGGAAAAAAGTTCTGTTTAAAGTATGTGTTGGTTATTGACCATATAGAATGACATTCATATTAATGTGGTGGTGACTATATGTTGATCATTGACTATACAAAATTACATTCATTGAGGTAAAAAAGTTGGTCCAATTTTTTTTTCTCTGTTTCTAGTACTTATGATGAGAGATTTCCTGTGTTTGTCTATTTTCCTGTCATTTTCATGAACACATCAAGATTTGTCACAAATATAATGATGGTCCATGTGAAACTTCATTGATTCTTATCTGAAACTGCAGCTTATGTCATTAAGATCTATGGTTTTTCCTTATGAACTTCAAATTCACTTTTGAGTTTTCTGGCAGAGCTTTTATGTGGACATAAAAGGGCCAATGATGGCATTCTTGCCAGTGCTAGCATTTGAAGGAGGGAATAGGAGAAACATACCCAAATTTGAGGTGTAATCCTAAGTTCCATGATATTTGAGCTCATATTCTTTGTTCTTTTCTCATCTTATGTTTTATTATGATAGAAAATACTTGTACCAAAATGAAGATACTGTTTTGCAATTTTTATCTGATTGCAAATATTTACTCTATGAATCTTGATCATTTGAAATTGAGTGACAGCTTTATTATTTAACTCAAATGGAGATAGATGAATTGGAAGGCTCCTTGCAAATGGCAAACTCGACTCTCCTCTAATTGATAGCAGTTTAATTTACCCCCCCCCCCCCCTCA